ATATAATGGTTCATCCTAATTAGTATTCTTTTGTAGTCGTATTTTAAGCCATTTAAAGCACTTGTAGTCGTGTTTTATCAGATATAAAACGCTCGGCTGCGCCTCGCGTTTTATATCTGATAAAACACTCCTACGCGTGCTTTAAATAGTACTTAAAGTTGTTAATCACTCAATATAAATTCGGTATATTGACCATCATCAACACTTGATACGCTAACACTATTCGGTATATTGATCATCATCAACACATCAACAACACACTTCGCCTATGTAGATTCTAAATCGTCTGGTATACGATCTTCAAATCAACCTAATTCAAAGTACTCTAGGTGAAATTGCTGTTAGTGGCGAATACTTTTGAGGTAAGCGAAAGTGCACTATAATCTTCGTTATATTTATTGGTTTAATCGTGGTTTAATCTAGAGTTAGGATCTTCAGGTGAATCAGTGTGAAATTTCGATTAGTGTGGTTCTCTTAAATGGTTGTGATGAAAAGTGTAGAATAGGGAGTTCTCAAATCATTAATAATTCATGAAGAAAATTCAAAAGAAATGCATATTAATTCTGTATTTAGAAATAAGAGGAAGATTGCAGCCGTTTTTCGTCAACTTTAAACTCGATTTTCTCGTAAAGTATTGATTCGTTTGAGAAGCTATATCCAAAACTCGCAAATGTTCTTCCTCTGATTTCTAAATACAGACAAGCTGGTTAAAAAAACTCAGGATCACCTCGTATTTTCAACCTGCTTGTCTGTATTTAGAAATCAGAGGAAGAACAGTTAGTCGTGTTGGATATAATACAGGGGCCGGTTGTATAAAAACGTCGTTAACTTTAATTACTAGGTTACCCACAGGGCAGTAATGCTGCCTTTGACAGCAAAAGACAAACGACAGGGTGTTGAACGAGTCCTTCAGAAACATCCTATTATTGTTATCCTTGTTAACCCATTTATTGACAGTACCCTACCACTGACTGAGTATTAAAAATCGTCTGGCGTTGGACAGGGTAAATACTAAAGTAGGAGCCTTTACTGTGTTGATGA